AGTGAATCAATATAAACATAAAACAATATTTTTTAATAATATTCAAAATCTTTTCTATTTTTTTTCAAATTAATACGTTTAAACTTGTGGGTGGAAATACGGCGCACATAATGATACGCAACATCTTAAGAAGAGCCATGACAAATAATTTTGCACAACATTTTAGCTGGGCTGGAAAAAAAGCTAAGAGAAGCTTTCAACATTTTGGTTTTTTAAGAATAATTATACGTAAATTAATTTCACACACACACACACACACACACACGCGCGCGCGCGCGCGCGCGCGCACACACACAATAGAATGTCTGACAATATCAATACATACGCTTATGTGAAATAAAACTCATTACAATGAAAAATGAAAAATGAAAAAGTTCTTTACCATTTTGTAAACTATGTAAAATTTTTAGATAATAAAAGAAGATAGATTAATCAAATGCATGTAATAATGTGATGGGACAACTTTTGTAGGCATGTTTTCATTAAATAACTTTGACTTATCGATTGTTTCTTAGCTACGACAACTGATAGAGATATGTGATTCAGCTTTACACGCCGCTACCGTTCGTATATTTCACCTTTTGTTCACCAGCTGATATTCACTATTGCAAACAGACAGCCGATAAGTTGAAGTTTTTCAATGAGACTGTATCTATACAGCTTATTCCATCATTTTACGCGTACTCATTCGCCAATTTTTTTCAATTAATATTTCAAAATTTTATGTAATTTTGCAAAATGTTACATTTTTATTCAGTTTGATGAGTTGCACACGGGGGGACGTACGGATGCTGTCGAACTCTGTGTGTATATGAATTATATATTGTAATGCTTATAATAACTTTTTATGTTATAGAAGCTGTTCGTAGGAACACAAGCATGTAAGTGATGCTGAAATTGCAGAAACCATTTCCAAGTGGCTTGCCCAAGCTCCTGTTAGGATTGAGAGAACAAAGTATGTACTTATAGGACTATGTACTTATAGGAGGATTTATTTTATATATAATTTTATGTATATTTGTATGCAGTATGTATATTTTTATGTAATTAAATGAATTTTAACTTTTATTTTATTTTTACAGACATTTAACAAAGGAAAATAATAATCAAGATTTTATTAGTATAATAAAATAAATTATTAGTGGCAACAAAAGGAATTATTAGTGGAATATATGAATGGCAGCAACGCGTAAAGTGTTTAACTGCATATCTGTATTTGATTGGTTACTAAGAAACAATCAATTCAAGCCAGGGAAAATATGCCTACGAAGGTTGTCCATATTACATGCACTAATTAATCTATCTTCTCAAAATTTCACTTAATAGCGTACAAAATAAGACTAGATATAAGACTTTATTAATAAAAAATAATAATATAACAAACAAGATTATTTACTTTAAAAAAAATATAATATTAAAAAGATTTTTATTTTTTTAATATAGAAGAAAATATACTTTTATTTCAATGTTAACATGTTATGCAATGTTATGTGTATTTTATTTATGTTAACATAAATACAAATAAAAACATTTAATTAAAATGTATTGTCATAGCAATTTTACATTTATATTATAAAAAATATAAAGACAATATTTTTATATGCAACATTATTCCCCAGGGAGAACATCAGGTCGAAGAAACGTCTAATAGACATCTAATAGACGTCTTGTAGACGTCTGGACATCTAATAGACGTCTATTAGATATCTATTATACCCACGTTTTTAGATGCGCTGAATACAAAAAAAATAGTCATATGTGTCGCAAATGTCACCCTCAAAAATATTTCAAGGATACCAGTTATTATAGAACAAGCGTTTGTCAGTAAACATGCTTACTGCCCAAAGTGTCACGAGGAAGCTGCTGAATAATCATACATCATTTTCAAGCCCTTTTACTCACTTTTACTCGTCCATTCCTTAAATAATAACATTTTCAAAAACCTCTAAATATGAAGGTGGACAATGGCTTCCTAAAATAGTTTTTCAAAAAACTTATATAAAAATTACATAAAAAATTATATAGTAGCTCCATATTCTATGAAAGAAATACTCTGACTTTCGCTCTTAGTATGACCCAGGATCAACAACGTGGATGTGGCGAAAATGTGATCTCTTTGGGGTGCTTGATTTTCGTGAGTCCCCTTGCCTCTCACGTTGGGGTGCTTGATTTTCGTGAGTCCTCTTGCCTCTCACCTCAGAATACTTGACTTCATGGTAATGTCGCTTGTGTGTGGTACTCTTCAAAGCATGGTGCTGCGCATAGAGGAGTCTCACAACTGGGGCATATGTACATCGTTCGACGTGTAATCTTACGCAAAGAGCACAAGTGACACCTTCGACTTGTACCATGCCTCGGGAAATGACGACCAACTAATCGAGTAGGAAGACTATCGTTGCGAAAGATGCTTTCAGTAGAATCAAGTTTCAATAATGATCTAACAACCTCTAATCGAAATGAAGGAAATAGTGTATGTCCTTCATTTCTCAATTTATATAAAGCATGAGCATTAGACAGACATAGATCAATAAAGTCAAAAAATAGCTTGCGATACCACTTTATTGATTTTTTTACTGTTTCTGTTATAGATAATTGTCTATCTACATTATCTACACCGCCCATATTTTGATTGTATTTGTGGATACACGTTGGCTTCATAATGTCTTCATTTGTTCGATGATCCCTTTTTCCAGTTGCACAGAATTCAAGTTCGTGCACATTTGTAAGCATGTGAACACTACGTTTATCTTGCCACTTCATTGCCATCCACACATCATTATGAGCGACTTGTACTTTCCCTCGCACTAATTTGTTTTCTAGCTTTGGCATTCCCTTTCTATTTGCTTTTACCGTGCCACACATTCCTGTGTCACGATCATGCAAAAATTCTGCCAAAATAGGAGATGTATACCAATTGTCTACATACACAACATGACCCTTATAAAAATAAGGTTGTAAGAAGTGAGCGACAATATCGCCAGTAACACCCAAACCAAACTTTTGATAATCAATATCTGCACCAGTGTAAACAATAAAGCCCAATATGAATCAGTCTCGCAGTCTACTAACTCAAAAAGCTTGATGCCAAAACGATTTCTCTTCAAGGAAATATATTGCTTGAATCGAAGCCTACCTTTCCATAATAACAGACTTTCATCTATGCACAGATTTTTGCCTGGAATAAGAGCTGCCGAGAATTGTAAAACTATTACTTTGTAGGTGATCTATTACTGGCTTTATTTTCACTAAAGGATGATCTACGATTTTTGAGTCATCTTCGTTATCATGAAAATGTAAATAACGCAGAATTTGAATATATTTATCACGAGACATTATTTGACCAAAAATTGGAGTGTGCAACAAATGATCTGTAGACCAATAATTTCTCAACTTGCCTTTCCGAACATGGCCCATTAGAATCGAAAGACCGAGAAAATTTTCAAAGTCATTTGTTGTGAGAGGACACCAAGCTTTTATATGGGAAGTTTGAACTTGATGATTTTGAGTTTGATAACGATTCGTCTTCTCTATAATCCTTTCAAGCAGAGAAGAATCACAAAAATAATTGAAATAATCAATTGGCCTATTCCCCGATGTAGAGATATTCGGATTCATTTCGGAGCTGCCTTCGAAATCTTTGATAGATGGGTAAAAATATGCGTCCTCAAAAATTTGATTTCCGCCATAATCGTCTCCCAAATCAATATCACCAATTTCTTCAGTCTCTGAGTCTCGTACCTCTGGTTCGGACTCGCCACTACTCCAAGCTTCATTTTCACCCATTTTATCAAAGATAAGAATTTGATGTACTGTTTAGATAATAGTGTCAAAATAATAATAATAGTAATAATAATAGTAATAAATAAATACTGGAAGAGTTCTAATCAGTAATATATTATAAATGAAAAGTAGCAATCTGCAGCACTTTTACTTTATACAAGAAAATGAGTAAACAATTTTAGTCCTCTACAAGAAAGAAAGAATCGAGTGCTAACCCGCTGGCAGGTACTAACGATAATTTCAATTTTTGACCTTGAATTCACCTTGAAGATGAGTTTCGCGATACTATTTTTTTCGTATTCAGCGCATCAAAAAAGATAGGTATGCCAACTTTCAGGCCAAAATAGCAAAAAAAATTGACCTTGAAATAGCGATTTTCAAGGTCAAGAATGCTCCCAGGAATTTTCACACTATTTTTCCCATATTCAACGCATAAAATTTTTCCTGAAAAAACATCAAATATTATGTGTCTACTGGTTGGTCGATATATCGACCACTCCCGCCTTTAAAAGTTGATAAATGAGTTGATAAATTTAAATCAGAAGGTGGTTAGAACGTGCTCATAATGTACTCGGATGCGTCGACTTCTGAGCTCATTTTGATTTCATCATAAAGAGTTTTTTATGCATATAACCTAGTAAATGAGAAATTATTGAAAGTTCAGAAATAGGATTAAAAATTACTGAAAAAAATTTATTTACGATGATGCTGAATTTTATTTAATTCTTCTCAATAATTTCTCGTTTACTGGGAACAAATATACCTCAAAAAATTACATGTGAAAAATTGCGTCAAAGATCGTTGTACCAGGAACAATTTCACACACTGCGTGTTTTTTATGCACTGTAAACTGCGAGACTTGGAAAGTACTTTGTGGGTAAATATAAATAACAAAGAGAATAATTGACGAACAATATATGGATGACCAACAAGAATCCAGCCGAGTCAGGTTGGGTGATGCGTGTTTTTTGTTTTCACGTATCATATTATATGATGTCAAAATGAGCTGATTATAAAGAACTATTTTGTGTTAGAAATAAAAGTTCATAGTGAGCTCTTTTTGAATTACTGTTAAAGAACTCAGAAAAGAGCACTTTTAAACAATTTTTTGTAATCATTTTAGCAGATCATAAAGAATTCAAAAAAGAGAATACTTTTTGAACTCTTTCTAGAGATCCTGCTGTCTGGGCGGCTATTTATAACATGAAATTTGTAATAAGACAGATATAAAAAAGATAACATATACTCGCCAAATAACACAAACACATTCTATAAACATTTTATACAATGCATGTGTTATTCGGCATTCTAAACGTCATCTATGTACATCTTCAGTACATTTGAATATTCAGTGAACATTTATGTAAATCGATGGAATAGCAGGAGGATCTCAAGCCAAAGAAGATTGTAGTTCTTGAAATCTTTTATTGTAACCAATGTATTTCGTAAGTAGCAAACGTTTCGGCTAATCATTCAGCCATCTTCAGTGCTACCTTAACAAATCTAAATAATTATACATATATGTTAGAAGTTTGTTTCCCGTAATTGAGGTCAAATTAATAAAAAATTTTTTTATTTATATACCTAACAAAATAAATAACTAAAATTCTTAGTCGCATACCTGTTAATCAGAAGTCTGCAGAATCAATTTCACATTATTAAGGGGATGCTGGAGTTACCGGCCGGACATTATATTTTTTCGAACAAGAATATCTTTTTATTGATTGCATAGAATTGTAAATCCTTTTGCAGGAGTAAAGTGTACACAAAAACGGAATTCGGGCTGCTCGACTTTATTTGGAAAAAAAGAATTAATAACAAAATTTGTTTCTATTCATTAATTTCTATTCTGCTCTTAGGATAACATATTGTATAGAGCTATCTATTTTCGTTTTTTATAAAAGTTTAACAGTTTTAAGACGCTGAATAAGAGCAGCCCGAATTGCGGACTACAGAATAGAATGTTATGAAACCATTAAAATTGGGCTGAAAAGTAAAAAATGTAAAAAATGTAAAAAATATTCTTGTCCGACTATTTTTACATACGTGTGCGTCCAATATCGGTATAACAGATGAAAAAATAACAGAAGATTAGTTCCAGGATAATATCAGAGAGGCGCTATACAATAATATGCGAATATATACACGCACCACACATACGCATACACAATACATTCATACTTAGATTATGATTTATGCCGATATCACTCTCATTTTTAGTTCCATCGAAATGATGGCGCTTTCGCGTCGGAGTTCGTCAGGCACTCCAGCATCTCCTTAAACTCCTTCGAAAGTGAATTCACATATGTGATTGAGAGAAATTCTTATATATGTAGGTGTTATTCAAATGTCACCATGTTCTCTACTGTGAGTTAATGATAATTCTTAATTTATGTAAATGTTTATGTAAACCAGCGCTCGGAATTAGTAGCACATTTCGGGCCGATGCCCGAGACGTTGCATCCTGTTTCCGCACTACCGCTCGACCGCTGGCGAAATTATTTATGTAGCGAAAAAAATGTTACGATTTCCTGAGAGATGCCTCAACAACCCAGCCTATTTCTTATATAAAACGCTCTTGAGCCAAAGCTATCGGCGGCTCGGCCGCCAGCGGCCGGGCGGTAATGGTGGAACAGAGGTATCGACACGGGCATTGGCCCGAAATGTGCAATTAATTCCGAGCGCTGATATAAACAGTTATGTCACATATTTTTACTGCTGATTTTAACATATTCTGGGCAGGTTTATAGAATATTCTTTACAAACAAGGATATTCTTCAGACATGCATTAATGATTTCTTCGAAAATATTCTCATAAAAGTATATTTGATGCAATATAAAATATTTAGGTATACAATATTGTGTGTTATTTGGGCTTAATGATCTAATTAAAGTCTTTAGATTTTAACATAATGTTTATGCTAGTGCAGTGATATAACCTATAAAAACGATAAGAGCGGTGAAAATAAGTTAATCATATTTATTTTTTTTTATGTGTTTATAATGGAGCTGTAATGATAGTATAGTCCTAACCGTTTAACTGAGATGAACCGTTGCTAAAAATGAATGATCAGAAGAAGAATTACTATTATCTTCAAATGCTGCAAAATGGTATATTAGGAAAGAGTGTCGAGAAGGACAAATTTGTATTTCTACGCTGTCATCAACTATAGAAAACATGGAATTAGTGTAGCATGACAATTGTATCATGTTTTTTAAATTTTCTTGTATAAAAAATCATGGATAAAATATAATCAAAAGTTTTCATCGTCATTCGCATATATTCAAAAAATTTTTATGGATACTTTTTCAAGTCATTGTATAAATGTTAAAACTCCCCAAATTTATATCATTTGGGTATTAATAAATGTACAGAATATTTACATTTTTTACAGCATTTAAAGACAATAATAATTCTTCTCTTGAATTACTTATTTTTGGAAACGATTTATTTCAGATAACGATTAGGACTATACTGTTATCACAATTTCATTGTAAACATGTGAAAGAAAGTTAGATATTTTTTTTTGCATGTGTCTGAAAATTGGTCATGAATTGGCAATGAAATATTAATTCAGGAGAAAAAGGTACTCTCAGGCTTTTTGTTTAAATATTTTTGAAACAAATTTTCCGTTGCCCTCTAAGCTTAACTGTGATATCACTTGATATTCACTACCAGTATTAAAATTGTACAGGTAGATAATGTAAATTATAAATTTCAATACTGATAATGAATATCAGAAGGTAGCTCTTTTCGTGCTCAACAGCGCACAACACTATCCCCTACATGACTCATATACACCACTGGATTCATTGGTGCTGCACCGCGTATGCGTGAGAAATATCCTTTATAAGAATTGCTTGAGATGTATTCTTTACTCATTAACGATCAGTTTTTCGTGGGACGCTCATCTCAACACGGATGAGAAAGACGCATACGGAGTGAATCGTATCTAAACTTCTTTAATTTTGAGAGGAGGCAATAATCACAAAGTTCTTTCATCCCAGAATTTGTAAAACTAATCCGCAAAGTTAAAGAAAGGGTGAGTACACATAAGAAATTTGCATTTGAAAAATGTATTTTCTATGTTTTCTTTCATTATTTTTTCTCCTGATCTTTCTTTTTTTTTATTATTAATTTTATTTATATTTAGTTATATTTTATTTATTATTAAATAGACAAATAATATACAATTTTACTTAATCTGATAAAAATTTATTGATGATAAATACAAAATAATAAGTACAATAAATATTTTTACAGTAAAAGAAAAATATTATATGATTATGGGATTCAGAGGAAAAATGGACCAAGTCTTTTTACAATTTCATGCATAAATTAAAAAAAACTGAACAGTTTTCACTGAACAATTTAAAAGTGAGTGCAAATGTTTAAGTTAGAATTAAAAGAAAATATGGTACTTATGAAAAAGTATACATGTTGCACATAAGTAGAGAAACAACTTTATAACTTTTGAACTAATTTTTTAACAGTTAACAAAAATAGACTTGATCCACTTTTTCTCTGAGTTTCTCGTATAATGTAACATAATAATCTGTAAACCATTATATAAACCATATTTAAACTAATATATATAATCTAAACCATAATATAAACTATAAATAATAACCAAGGTTGAAAGAAGTAAAATTTGTATACACCAAATTTTCGCATCTTATATCCAGAGTTTTCGTATATATTTATTAGGTAATTTAATTTGGCATGTAATTTTGGCAATGTAATTATTATTGCAGATGAAAGTATTTGTTGCAATTTAATACAGTCTCTATGAAAATCTTGACTATCAATTATTTCATAAGCCTCATAATGTTCATATAAATAACACGAGTTTAAATTTTCTGTTAATATTAATATATTCTCATTTGATTGCCAAATTAAATCTGTCATTTTGTGAAAGATAGGTCCATTTTCTGATGGAATTATCAGGATTGTATTGCACTCTATGTTACAATTACCTCGTTTAATCCATTTTAAAGTCTGA